ATCGAGTTTCTTACTATTCTTTGTACTCCCACATCCACACACGCCTTATGTTGATGGAACACGCGCACAGTCCCACAGGAATTGCCGAGGATGTGGCCGCAGCGCTCTGTGCCCTGCCCGCTGGTAACGAGTTTAATGTCCGTGTGGTGGATACTGCCGATAGCTCGGTAGAATCGCTGACACCACACAATTGTAAACACAGTCATTTTCACGCTGAAAACACGCTCTCACGTCGTGTATTGGTGCTGGTTTCACAAGGCGATTGTCTGGTTGCTGGACTTGAGACGCGCGAGTTTGTGACTTTGTTAGTGGAGATTGATGGCGCCCGGGTTGCTAGAGAAAGAGTGTCTGTTGATGCATGCATTGAAAAGCTCGACACATCGGGTATGCTGTCCTCTCGAATGCCGCTAGCTCGGCAGATGGTCGCTGGCTACCTGTGCTCCCTGCAGAAATACCGAAAGGCACTGGATGTATCCACCGTGGGTGTACATTTATTCGCGCGTGCACAGCACGAGTATTTATTTGCAAAGTCGCAAGAAAATCCCAACAAACATATTCTGGATGACTTTGCGCTTATTAAGTGGTGGCAGCGGACTATAAACTCTGCCTTGACCTATGCGATGTCTCACCTATCCTACAGTTTGCAAGATTCTGCTATCAGATCTTCTGGTACCAGTGCTGTTACGCGTAAATGTTTTTCCGAGACTGTAATTGGATATTGTGTTATTCCAGGTGCAGAGCCAAATAATGCATACGCTTTTACTGGGGAGCAGGCGGATACAGCGAACGCAAACTCAAATGAACATGCTGACACAAAGCCTGCTGGTCGTGTTGAATGGAGATGGGGACTGCCTTATTCTTCTGATGCTGTCGCACACGACTGTGTTCTGCAATTTCCGGATGATCCAATAACCCGTTTGCTTGCCGAACCACACTCGAGGGGCTGGTCCGTGGCAATGCTACTGGATATGCTCTCTGTCAGCGAGGAATGCGGCTCTGGCCACCGAGCTGCTTATTTGTCGGCGTGGCTGCCTGTTAAAAGCTTTGCTGAGGTGCTCGAGGCGTCGCAGTTTGAAGAGACAGCAGATCAAGGAAAATTGACACTTGAGGATTATGACAGTATGCTAATTGCGCTGTTTGATAGAGCAATGGACTTTTCGACTGCGGATGCAGCATCCACTTCCTCCAGACGCTTTATCGACTTCCTTGACACCACTTTTAACATTAAACCAGTCAGCGTATCTACCACAGGCCCTGTTATTGTAAAAGCGACTACTGTATCAGAACAAATCACAACACCTTTGGTGAACGACCTCACTGCTGTCATTCGAAAGAAGCGCAAGGCTGAATAGGTACAACTTTTTTTCGCACCATACACTATCTAAATAGTTGTAAAAAAAAAAAAATCAATACTGCTGGTGGTTGTGTTTTTCAAGTAAAGAAGTACTAACTCTAGAAATATCCACGTTGTGCTTTAGCAAGCCGTATTTAAATCATAACAAGGCTGGGGAACTTTTCGTCATAACCATCCACAGTGTACTGTCCCTTCTTGGTCATCTCCTCTGCACGCTGAACAACCTCAGGCTTGGCCTTGACTACATCATCCACTGTAAGTTGAGTAATGGGACGCGTCTGCTCAATGTTCTTGACTGTCTCACTGAGGTCTGCCAGATTGGCTTCGGTCTCCTTAACATATAACTCTGCAGAGGCAACGGCCTTCGTCTCAAATGCTGAAATTGTCTCCAGCTGGCTGGCAAGATCAACCTTGGTGATTTTCTGTGCCTTTGCAATCTTCTCGAGTCTGTCCACAACTTCTGTGTTCTTCAGTACACGTCGGTAGTATTCAAAGTCAACGGGGCGATTGGCCTCTTTAAGCTGAGTAAGCTCACCCTCCGCCATTTCGTAGCTCTTGCGGAACGATCCAAGTGATTTGGTAATCTCTGCATGCTTTGACAGCACAGAGCTGACCACAGGCCAGTTGATCGAGGTAAGAAACTTGCGCCCGGCAGTCGACATGGCTGTTGCTATCTCCTACAATTCTAAATCCTCTCCATTATAAGCTGAAATCTGTCTCTTTTAGCTAAATTTAACACTGCTGTTGTTTAATACGCCATACCCAAGCGTGGCCTACGTAAATGCGTGCTGCTCAGCAACCCTTTTCCATCGAGAAAAAAAAAAAAACATTTGAATCCGCTGCTGCAATCAAGCAAACAAAATATTGCTCTCTGTAGCTTTGCCAAAGTCCATTTGGCTTACCTAATAACTCAATACGCGAGAAAGTGCTGCTGAAAATATAGTTCAATTTTAAAATCTAAAGACACAAGACTAGTAAAAGGTCCAAATTGCCTTTGTCCTGCCAAATTAAAGAGCCAGGCTTATCGTCTTTAAAATTTAATCCAATCGGCACTGATCAACATCTGCACTCTATCATGGATTGTCAACAAAAGTTACCACGACTTTGTGTATGCTTTCACTTCATACTTGTACTTGTATTTTTTTTACCACAGCTCTATTTTGTTTTGCTGGCGCAATGGCCTTTGCATTTAAATTTCTTTGCTTGTTTTTTATGTCTGGCGCATTAGCCGCCAGCCATAGCTTGGGTGTTTGCCTAAGGGATGTCTTATTCGGTATGGATGTGTACAGAGAGGCATACAGCCCTGGAGTGCGCATGGTTGGCAGGTCCTTCTCTGCAGCACTTAGCTCCCGAAAGCTATATGAAAGGGACGTAACAGAGGGTTTGGAGGTATTAATCCAGGCGGGAAGTGGGCCAATTAATCTTGCTGACTTGTCAAACTCGGGAACCACCAACCAGGGTGTCGGTGGGGGCAGCAACAGTCCACAAGAGACCCCAGCTTCTTCACCATCCTCTTCTGACAAGTCATCAGACGAAAACTCTAGTGCAGATTCTACAAAATCCGACAGTTCTACAGATGATTCCGAATCTGCTCCGCTTGTCCCTGAAGCCAATTCAAACGCGATAACATCTGGGACATTTTCACAGGAACCCAGTGATAGGCTTTACACATGTAAGAGCGAATATATTGATTTCTCGCAGTCAGATGCAATGAGCAAGTTTAGTTTTGTGTGGTGTCCTCAGAACGCCTATCAGACTCAGAATTCTGTTGTATGGAAGCTCACACAGGAGTGTGGTACAACGATGGTTTATCCCTGGGACTTTCATTACGGAAGAATTGAGGCTCGAGTTCGCATTGGTGCAGGAAGCGGAGTTGTCACCGCCCTTCTATTGCTGGGACCCGCCCCATCCGACGAAATTGATTTTGAATGGGTTGGTCAAGATCTCACACATGTTCAGACAATGTATTATGTGCAGGCTCATCGTGTAGATGCCACATCTCAGGCATTTGGAGTAAGTCAACATAAGGACAGTGATCTCAGTACAACATATCAAGATTATGCTATTGAACTTCGCGAAGATAGCGTAAAGTGGTATCTTAATGGTGGGCTTTTACGAACACTAAATAAAGGTGCAGATGAGTTTCCTTCAGATGCCTCTCGGGCGAGGATGGGAATTTGGGATGGCTCACAAACTGGTGGTTGGGCTGGCAATGTTGATTGGAACAAAGGTCCATTCACTGCAGAAATGCAATGGTTCAACTTTACGCCTTACTGTTAAATAATATGTTTTCTTCAAAATCCGTTGTTGGTTATAAAAGTTTATGTTTAACAAATTTTTGAATATTTTTAAACTACCTAAAGAAAAGTTGCTCTAAAAGGCCAATGTGACAAAAGCAACACCGGCTAGCAATGGATAGAGTTTGTTATTAAAAAGAATGTCTAGAAGATGGTGCTTGCGCTGTTGCAGACATTGCAGTTGTTGTTGGCCGAGTTTGCATCCTTATTGTTTATGTAGAGGGTGTCATCATTGCAATGCGCGCAGTTGGCATTGCTGTTAAGGTTATTGGTAAAGCTGCTTGCAAAGGGGAAACCCCATCCACCCCATCCGCCGATTCCACCCCATCCACCACAACCACCGCAACGCCTGGACAATACAGTTGTCCCAGGCGCCTGAACAGGTGCAGCAAGTGATGATGCAAAGAGAGCGATTGCTCCAACAGTGACGGTGGTGACAGAGGCAAACATTTTGTAGTTGCAAAACTAGAAATTTTGGTTTTGTTGGATATAGTCGGTAATCCGCAGTGTATAAAAAGTAGAAGCTAGGAACTATGTCTGTGAGAGATGGTAATGCTTTTATTTGTGTATTGGAGTGTGGTGTGGTAATGTAAAAGTGAGTAGAGCACACCAGAAACAAGCATTTTATACTGAAAAAATTTCTGCTCTATTAAGTTGACAACAAACACTAAAAGCTGTAAGTTACTGTACTCTGCATAGATAGCTGTTGCGGATCTGTAATTACAAAGCAGGTACTGATAGTAGTTCTAACTGCTGATATCGTGATGCAATGACAAGGGTTGGCCAACAGAACGCGTCTCTATGCGGCGATTGTCCCTGAAAAAATCTGAAAGCGTCAGAAAATAATTTCTAGCTGGTTATTAGCTGCATATTTATTAGATAAGAGATTACGACAAAAATGATATTCCATGTGCTATTTTGAAAATATAGGTTGTTCACATTTGCAGGACACCATTATTAAAAATCTAGCGGCGTGTTGCAAACTATAACTTTTAGCTTTTATGGTTCTATAAAGTAATGAAAGATATTGGTAGACGGATGCGACTTGAAAAAACCCCTGGATGTGTTTGGTTTTAGATAATGATAACATATGTATTACAATGACGGTTAATAAGTGTAGGTATGGTACACAGTCTGGTTAAGATTAGTGAAATGCGCATAATACAAAGTTAGCACAACTATACCGTTTGTAGTAAAACACTATTGCTAACAATATGCCGCATGTTATCTAGAATGCAAATAAAAAAAGGAAGCATCGCAAAAAAAAAGTACGCATGATTGGATATTCTTGCTAGGTAGACCAATCATTAAGTGTGAATTCAGCTTATTGAAAGACAGTACTTTGCTCAGCGTTGATGGTTAAGTGGTATAATAGTTGCCTTCCAAGCAATCGTCCCGGGTTCGATTCCCGGTCAACGCATCTTTTTACTATTACAGTAATGCATTTGTTTTTTGTTTGGAGCTGGCTTTTTTTGCATGTACATTCTCCATCAGACTTAACACAGATATATTATTTCATTTGTTAAGCCATTAAGAAGTTGTTATTTCACAAGTACTACTTCCAGATCCCTGGTCCAACACCTTGCTGGTACAGTCTCAATGTTCATTTCTGGATCTAGTAATGTCCAGGAGCTACTTAACGGTACATATTACATTCGTTGTATCAGTAAGAATATGTTACACAATACGCAGACTATATCAGATGCACGACTAGTAGTTTAGTACCAACGTAGCTACACTTTAATTTGTATTTTTTTTTTTGTTTTATAATGATGGTGGTGGTAGGTGGGTGGGCGGCTGCCTGGAGGTAGTGCAGATACCAGGGCCACCCGCGCCTGGGCCGTGTGTGCAAGCAGGGACAACGGCATCAGACATGCCCAAGCAAAAATTGTGAACATCAATTTGGGGGAAATTCCCCCAATCTAAGATGTTACTCTTAGAAGAACATGTTACTAAAAAATGATCAAAGCCAAAAGGCTTGAGAGGAATGTAAGGTTTCTACAAGGGGGTGTGTTGCACCGGACAAAGTCAAGTATTTATGCCCAGCAGTGGCGGTTGGTGCTTAGTAATAGCTTATGGTTATTAGAACACACGCAAATTGAATATTGTTTTGTCGAGTTAAATTGTAATAACATTTTTTCATATTGCAACAATAAGAACTCTATTCATACACTTGTGACTAGTAATTAGCGTGCAAGAGAAGGCATAACTAATTTAATGTTAAGACCAGGAGGGTTAGTTTCAGGAAGCAAGCATACGGTGATCTTGTCGAATATATGCAGGGACTCTACGGTTGTTTCCGCCGTCCCATGGCAATCAAGACGCTTTATAGAGTGGCCAGTATTATCGATTACCAACGCAGATAAACTCTCAGCGAGATCGTCCACTGAATTAGGAAGAGTTGTTTTCCAAACAAGTGTCAGAATAGCCGACTCTACCGACCACAGATGAAGCTTCCACTTGCATGAATTGGTGGACACGACACAATTCTCGTTATCGGCCATACGGTCCATGTAGATTGTACCATCAACGCCAAAGGAGGGTGCAGTGAAAGAAAGACCATTTTGGCCAATCTTAATGACTACTGCCGAAGTGATAACGCCAGGAATATCAACCCTGGGTTCCATAGATGCAAGATAGTTAACAAGAAACAGTTTTGCACAGGCTTCCTGAGCTTTCTTGGCAGCATCCTTGCGTAGATTGCAGTGGTGAGCAATAGCCGAGATTGCCTTAGAATTGGGAATAAGCAGGGCTCGTGCTTTGCTCAGACTGGTAGTTAGAGAACCCTTTGCCGAAGTTTTGGGAAAGTATGACGAGTAATACCTCGGCAACAATGGGTGGTCGCTGATAACATGGTTTCCATGGACGGCCAATGATGCCTCTAGCGTTCGATGGACGATGACATCGGCATAGCGACGAATAGGGCTGGTAAAATGTGTATAAAGTGGCACGTTTAGCGCGTAGTGTGAGTATCCAGATTTGTCCTTAATAGCATGTGTGGAGAAATACGCGGCGCGCTGCATTGGGCTCGTCAGCATCTCCTCAACAGTGAAGCGAAGATCGGGGTCGGTAATTTCCTCAAGGGATTTGGAGATATCACCGGCCGATCCCGGATTAATCTTAATACCAGTCTGGGCCAGTTGCTGGCAGAGCTCATCAAGACGGCGCTGGAGTGGAGGCGAATGGCGGCGAAGGAGAGAGGCGTCGGGAAAGCTGGCCTCAATGCGAGCAGCAACACTCATATTAGCCAGAAGCATAAACTCCTCGATTAGGCGGTTGCTGTCCTTGATAGCGTAAGGCCAGCAGTCTACTGGCGCGCCTGAATCGTCCAGCTCAAAGCTCAGTTTTACGCTGCTCAGCGAAAGTGCACCTTCATCGAAGCGCCGTTTGCGCATAGCCTTTGACAGCCCGTAAAAAGTACGAATACTGGACTCGATCTCGTGGCGACGGCCCGATGATGCAGAAACAAGCTGGCCATGCAAATATTCAAAGCACGCAGCAGCGCGAGATAGTCGCTCGCCGTCAATCACAGCCTGCGCATCGTCGTAGCTGAGCTTGCAAGCGGAGTTTATGACAGTTCGTCCAAACCACGTTGAAAGAACTGTAGCAGACTGCGGCTCAATCTCCCACATCACAGAAAAGGCAAGCCTATCGACGCCGGGGTTCAGACTACACAAGTCCTCGCACAGCATCGAAGGCAGCATTGGATAAGCGCGCTGTACCATATACGTAGTTGTGGCACGCTTCCGCGCCTCGCGGTCAAGAGAGGTCTTGGGCCGCACAAAGTATGAAACATCTGCAATGTGCACACCAACCAGAAAATTACCATTTGGCAGCGCGCGGCAGCTGACAGCGTCATCCAAGTCGCGGGCGGTGGATGGGTCAACAGTAAAGATACATTCACTACGCAGATCGGTTCGACTCCTTATATCAATCGGTGGAATGTGCCAAGGACTCTTGGGTAAGCAGCGCAAAACATCGGGCGTAAACGGCACCACACAAACACCGTTCTCCTCGAGAATAAGCTGCGTCTCAACTTCAATAGACCCGCGCATGCCAAGATCTTTCACAAAAGATGCTTTAGGGATTGGTTCTGTCGTCAGCCATGCACCCATACGCATAGTGCAATAGTGGTGTCGCGGACCGTCTCGCAAAGAGGCGGGAACGTCGTCGGCCAATACATACATAAATGGGATAGACGCATCTAGAGGCTTAAACCAAAGTACAGGCTTTTTGAGCGACTCGAGGAACAGGCGGTGCTTGGAAATAGATGGTGGTGGCGACGAAGACAAAACACCAGCAAACACCCGATCAGTGTTGTGTGAGATAACGGCAACCACCACCCCAAACACCTTCGGAATGCTGCGTGTAGTGACATTGCTCTGCTCGCTTGCATCTGCGCCTGATGATTCAGAGACACTGTCGACGCCGCTGGATGTTGCAGCCCTAACCTCGCTAGACATGCGCGCCAGACGATCCTTCCGCTGCTTCGTGACCCTATCCTTGCGCTTGTCTTCGCGGAGGCGGTTACATTTGTACACGTATGCCGCCGCTTTTTCGGAGAGTATGCTTATAGCAACAATGTCGCCGGACACTGCACGGTTGCGGCAATTATCGCCACAGATGTAGATATCGTTGCCGCTGCCGACGTCGCAGTCGTTTAACTGAGGAAACTTGCGCAATACCTTGACTCCGGGAGTCTCGTCAAGCGACACGTACGCATCCATCCTATTTTTCGGGTTGATGCGCAACACGCCACGGACAAGGAACCCAGAATGAAGCATCCCATTAACTTTTGTCATGTCATAGTACTCGTCGTATATCTTCGGCAGTGGGCGCGGTGCACCAGCAGATATGTTACGAGAGCCGCTTTTCTCTCTCGGCGCGGTAACGTCAGCACTTTGCACCGATCCGGCTGCATGGGGCTTTGGTCTCCAACTAGCATCTAATATATTTGAAGTAGACCGCTGCTGTTTGTTGCTGGATATGCTTGAAGTAGCTGGCTTGGAACTAGGGCCTACAGAGGATGCTTTTCTTCTGCGTCTAACATGTCTTTTATGATGAGCTTGGTTCTGATGTTCAGCTGAGGCGCTGGACAACGTCGATACACGCTCTCTGGGAAGCTGGGGTTTTTCAGGCACACTGGAAGTATTTTCCATAGAAAAGGAATTATTTAGGGGAAATGAATTAGGAAAAGCAAAAGCAAACGTTAAAATGACAGCAGTGGAAGTTGGCTAGCCTTTAATTGTGCAGTAATTGCATGCGGGGGAGGGGGTCTGGAGCATACAATGTTGCTGTTGCTTTTTGGCTCCACTTGACTTAACGCGCTGTGAATTTAACACTTTTTTTTTTTTTTTTTTGCGTACGTTTTGATTTGCGGTTACACACTTTGGCCTGTATATAGTTTATTACGACCTTTGGCCACGGAAAGACGGAGCTTGCGGCTGGCCGTCATAGCGTAGCCCCTATACCGCGCTGAAGAAGCAAACGCTTGGGAGAAATGCAGAGCGACGATGAGGATTCGCAGCAGCCGAAGACCCTTGCCGAGCGGATAGCGCGGCTGGGGCTCAAAACAGAGAGCGGAACCAGGCCGACATCCCGGACATCAGTTCATCGGTCTTCTGTTGCAGCAGCACGAGACAGAACTTCCACGGAAGTAGGATACCCAGACGGCCGCACAACGCCAATGCAGAATGAACAGAACCCGATGGGAGCTGAAGCAAGGCCGCCGATCGCCCCAAAAACCCATCTAGCAAATAGACCGTATGCCGGCAGTCTATCGTTCCAGGCCGGCTACACACATGACGAGACGGAGGGTCCCGCAACGCAGCCACCACACACAGACGTGGCAGCAGCTGTGCAGGCACAGCATGGAGCCAAAACACCTACAGTGTCACATGGTCGCGAGGCAGATGTGGCAGATACACACGCAGTCAGTGTGAGGGATCGAATACAGAGCCTGTACCGAGAGCGAGGTAGTCTTGAAAGCATTAGTTTTCCGTCAGCGACAACAGCACAGTCCCAGGCGCAGATGGCCAATCCAAACCCGTTTGCTAGCCCTGAGCTCGGCAACACACAGGTCATGACCACAGGGGAGGACAGTAGTGGGGGCATGTGCCCAATGTCGCCCGTATCTCCGCTGCCTGCAGCCGCGGAAGACTTTGGACGATCCAGGACGAACTTTGCGCGGCATTCACTGTTGCCACAATCAATAACCCCAGGCGGCATTTCACCACCTCCACAGAAGCCAGCGAATATGCAGCACACACGCACGGCCGGACACAGAATTGACGGAGACGACAAACACGCACAGCCTCAGCGACCAATGAGCGCGCTTGGAGCAAGCGGCATCTTTGGACACGCAGCACCCAAAGTTCCACCAAAACCAGCCGGCATCGGCACGCCAAAGGTAGGTTTGAG